TATATATATATATATATATATATTACCGTGAGGACAAACATCATTCTGAAGGACAATGGAAATTACAAACTTATTATTAGCAATTTCTTATGTAGATACAATTTTAGTCCAATGAGTGTGAGGTGGGTTTGCAGTAGACAACGCCACATTAACACAATTCTTCACATACATATATGTACACAACAGGATGCATTCCTTGAAGATAGTAATAAGAATATAAATTTAAATGTGACTCTTGTGGAAGCTCAGTGCAATACACTAAATGCAGCAAGTGCTTGCAGTTGTTATGCGTAATTTTCTTTGTACAGGAACCACAAGGCAAAAAGAAATCCAAGTTTGTCAACCTTTACTCACCAGATGGACAGGCCAAAGACATTATTTTGCTGAAAGGTCAGTTGAATATGTCAATGCAATCACTGTACTTTGCATACACAAGTCCTTGTCTTGCATGAATTTATATTTTCTGCTTTTTTTTGTTTAATATATTTTGAATTTATTTAATGTCTTGAATGTTTGTAGCATAATACAGCATTAATAGAGAGGCTTACAAAGCATATTTTTTCAGTACTCCTCAGTCTCTCCAGACAAATGCTGAAATAGGCCTTTACTGCCTCCTCCTACATCAATACTAACCAGTCATGATCATCTTTTAGTGTCATTTTACGTCATGTTTCTTTTATCCTTCTGCAGGTATAAAGATATCAAATTTGCTCTCTATTACAGCAGCCACAGCTGTTCAAGTTACACGCAAGTGTTGTGACAAGAGTGCGAATAAAATCTTCACTCATAGTCTTTCTCTTTTTAATTGTTTAGTAAACTTGAATATCTCAGTTTGATTGTTATACCATCTTCAAAGGTTCAGTGGCTGTATACTCTCATGCCAACAATCAGAGTAGACATATTGTGTATCAAGAATGCAAGAATCAGTTCATACTAAAAATTTAACCAGATATTGTAGCGTAGATGTTAGCTGTGTGTATGCTAGTGGTCTGCAGTTTGAGTCTCAACTTTCAGACTGACTCTCCTGACATTGTAGTGCTTCACCTGTGTGCAGTTCAAATCATAAGCTGACTGCTTAAAACAAGCTACATCAAGTTTTGTGTGGTCAGTAGGTGATAGTGTCATTAAACAAATAAATAATCAATTAAATATAAGAAAATTACAAATGTACTAAAGAAGCAGTTCTGAATTTCAGGCCGTCACCCTTGTGATTGTCAGGCTAGCAAGCACAAACTAATCAACAATTGTCTCAGTTGTGGGCGCATTGTGTGCGAACAGGAGGGTTCTGGTCCATGCCTCTTCTGCAACAATCTGGTAAGGTCAGTTACTGGTTGGGAGAGTGTACAGGTCTCACATGGAATTGTTGTTACATGCAATCTCAACATTTGCTGGAAGGACCAAAGAATTTCAGTCAGAGCGAAGAATCAAACCAGATACAAGGTACTATTGTTGAGCAACTGGCAACACTGGTGAGGTGGCACATGTCAGGGTATATGACTGCAGTTTATTAATTTTGTGTCAAGTGGTTATGCTTATATGTGCTCTGTCTGTGACCAAAGAATGCATTTTACTTAGTACATACCAAAAAGATATAGAAACAAGATAACACTATTACAGCAGAGACTGGCTGTCATTTAAATGTAGGAAGAAGGGGAGGCAAGGTGTCTTTTCAAGGGGTAAAGATGGTGATGTTTGACATTCATAAGAGGTGATATGAAGCTGAAACTTGTTGCAGTGAGTTGGATTTGGTCTGTTCATATTATCAACATTTTCATGTGCATAGGTTTGTTCCCGAGAAGAGCAGCAGCTGTTGGCATCCGGTTCAAAGCAAGCCGAGCATTTGTTACAGAAACTTGCAGACCAGAAGAAACATGGAAGTTTAGAATCTGCAGTCAAGCAGAGGAATCGGCTGCTGGAATATGACAGAACCAGGCAAGGCATAAATCATGCATAGTTCTGTCTTGGGCCAGTGTGTTCCATGCAAAATATGGTCCAGCTTTATATTTTGACACCAAACATAGTATACACACACACACAATTGGGTAGTTAGTGCATGGAAGCTGCTTGAAGATTTATAGACTTCACATAATGTTCGAGCTTGGCATGAGGGTAATTATAGTTTGTGCCTTATTTTCTTCTTTTACAAAATGCTTGTAGATGTGTAGAAATTTCATATCTCATATGCTGAAGCCACTGAAAGAAGTCCTGTAGATCAATCCCCTCCATGTCTGCTTCAGCTATTACACTTCACAGTACAAGGTGCTATTGGAAAGTTCCCGTACTGTTACTGTTGTAACTGCCTCAGTGAAAGAAGATTAGAGGGGAGGCCAAGGTCACACTTCCGCAAGCATATTGCATCAGTCTGCCATGTGACATCACGCTGTGAACGTGCACTGTTTTTACACAAATGCTTTTTTGACTTCATGTTTCGTTTTGTCTGCGATAGATGGCAAGATTGAGCAACATGTCTACATCAAGTTTTGCGTGAAGCTCGGTAAATCTACTACCGAAACCCTTGAAATGCTTTGTGAGGCCTTTGGAGAACATCCTTTAAGACAGATGGCTGTTTTTAAATGGCATTCACATTTCAAGGCCGATCAAGTATCAGTTGAAGATGACATGTTCAGGGTGACCAAGCAGCAGCAGAACAACAGAAGATGTTAAAAAGTTTGAGAGCTCATCCACAGAGACTGTCGTCGAACAATCCTTGAGTTCACAGACACTAGGGATCAGTTACGGAGGTTACCAGGAGATCTTATCAGAAAATTTTAACATGCACTGCATTGCCCCTTCATCACAACAGCGTGCCCACGTGTCCCTGTAAATCACAGAGTTTGTGACTAGCAACAACATAGTTATCATTCCCCATCTTTCCTGCTCGCCAGACTTTGCCCCCTATGATTTCGCTTTGTTTCTCAAAATGAAACTGAAGGGATGACATTTTTAAAGTGTCTGACACACAAAGGTAATCACAAACTATACTCAGCAGCATTAAGGAAAATGACTTCCACAGTGCTTTGAAGTGCGGAAAAAACAATGGGATCGCTGTATGTTCCCAAGAAGACTGTTTTAAAGGATATGGCAGCCAAAATTGGGTAAGCTAAGCCAGTGTTTCTTTTCTGACCTAGTACGGGAACTTTCCGATATAGTACCTCATATTCCCCTCTAGCCTAGCCACTGATCACTTAATGTTTGTAGTGGTAACAACATGGATGGCTCTGTTTCTTAGTGACAGATGCTTTGGGCTGGAGCTGAAGTGAAATACAGCCCTTTGCAGAAACGTGGAGACATTGAGTGCCACTATCCACACAAAACCTGGGACTTCCTTCCTCAGTGTATGCAAATGGTCTGACTCAGTGTCATTTAAATACTGTTCCAGGATCACAAGGGTTTAATTATAACCTCTCTCTCTCTCTGTGCTAGTAGTGAATTTAATTTATGAACAGTGGATCAGAATGATTGGGCCTCAGTATGCTCTCAGTTGCCTAGTACTGACAAGACTAGCAATATAGAATAAGACTTGAGGTGGCAGTGAGTAATAACGAGTACTGTCTTCTGGGTGTGATAGCTGGTTATGAATGTTTCTTAGGAGCCTACTACCTCCGTCTTTAGGGTTTGGCATGAAGATGGAGGCAGGAGATTCCTTCAAAACACTGGTGACCATCTAGTGACCACATGGTATCACATCCCAAAAGACAGACCCAGTGAAGCAGTTTCAGACAACTTAGCACTGGTACTCAGACTGTGTGTCATGTTGCCCTGCAGTGAGCAGCGCACAAAGGTGATCGATGATGAGAGTGACTACTTCACTGTGAACTCTGTTTGGCTGTCCAAAGCAGAACGAGAGAAACTGCAGCAACGTGAAGAGGAGCTCCGAGCGAGGCGCCACGCATCTCGTCTCGACAGAAGAGTCACCTTAGATTTTGCAGGTTCACTGTGTGCTTTTGTTCCCTTTGTGCTTAGCCGATGAATTGTCGGAGCTTCATGGGTTGGCATTTGTTCTGAAAATGTTATGACTGTTAAAGATGTTTACTGTTTCCATCAGTTGTAGTGGTCTGTTTATTCATATATGTGTTTCATGCTTGCATAAATCTGTACACAGTATGTATCTGATTATCTGATTCATATACTTTTGGAGCTTCTGACACACACTGTCCATCCCACAGTCTGTTTGTATGCATGAAAAAGCTCTAGAACCACTGGACAGATTTTGATGAAATTTGATATTTGAGAATTTATGAGGGTCCCCGAGTTATTTCAGTTCTCATTTAGACTGGAAAATTTTAATGACCACAGAGATCTGCATGCATTTACATGAATATTTCAAGTGTAATTTACAAAATATTTATTGCACCATTGCCTGATGGAGTTGAGCCCGGACTGTTACTGTAATGGAATGAATAGTAATGTCTCATGCTGGGACAGATGCCTTAACAGGCAAGGTGATTTGTTAAACAAAGTATTCATATGTGCCTTGAATGTTGTATAATGCCATAATAATACAGTTAAAATCTTTTCATGAAACAAGTATATTAGCATACTTTTCAGGCCTTTCTCATGTTATGAAGATGGCTTGGAGAAACGTGTGGATAGGGATGTCATAATCGTGTTCATGATAGATGGCACTACAGTATATACCTAGCAAGTTCGAACTAAATCAGGGAGACATGTTTCCGAAGATCACCAGTGATGATTTGGGGGCACACGGTAGCGTAGTTGGTTGAGGGACTATGCTACAAGCTGGAAGGTCACGGGTTCAAGTCCCAATGAGGTCATTGGATTCTTTTCAGTTGACCTAATCCTATGGCCCTGGGGTTCACTCAGCCTCTAACAGAAATGAGTACCAGGAATTAATTAAATAATTTTCCTGGGGAGTAAAGTGCAGCCAGTGCGTAAGGCTGACAACCTTACCACCTTCTTTGAGCCAGTTGTCTAGATAATGTGGGACCCTCAATGTCTCACAACCCTATTGGCCTTCATGGCCTGGTACAGGGATAGCTCTACTTTTTTTACTTTTTGCTTGTTGATTTATCTGCACAGGACGCCAAGTCTTGGAGGATCATGAGACAGAGACTTTTTATGACAAAGATGACATTGTGCTGAAGGAAATCACTGAAAGCCTCAAGGAGAACAGGATTGGCATGATGAATGGTAGCAACATGAACCCAGGAATCTTGTACATACAGCCCATTGTGAGTGTGCTTGACTGAGTAGCTTTATGATGTGTCACACCATCTCCAGACTTGTCAGTTTCCAGCAATAGGTATAGGCTGAGATCATCCTCATCCTCTAATTTCAGACTCTCTTTGATTGGGCAGATTGCATCAATCTGTTCTTTCCATGTTCTTAAATAGTTCCACATATATAAGAATGTAACTTTTCTATTTCCTACCACAGATGTAAGAGAACACACCTGAAGGTGTTACAGAATTCACTCTGAGCTCTTGCCAGTACATACAGCACCCACAGTTGTTAAAGAGATGTGCAAATAGTTTTTGGATGCACTCATTCCCCCCCTCCAATAATAAATTTTTGTTTCCCAAACTGAATGTTATGCTTTCTTTCTATTACACCTTGGTTCAGGTCTTGACCAGAACATCAGCTATTCTGACAGGATTTTCGTGGTTTTCCTCAGTCCATGCAGGCATATTCTGGGATAGTACCTTTCTTAGGTCATGACCAGTTCCTTCCATTTCCTCTCCAATTCATCTGTAACCCTGCCATCCAATACAGTATAGTCGCAATACTGAAAGCATAGTAAAGTAACCAACAGGTAATAGATTAACGAACAAAGAGCCACATCCCAGGTGAATAACGGGTACTTCTGCTTGCATTTTATAAAATTTGTTAATGGTGGAATTTGTAATTCCGTCATTATTTGAACAGTATTGTCTTCTAGAATATGATATCATATAGTCCACATTAGAAATTGACTGACACTTTAGAGGACTGCATTGCTTGCGTCTTCAGTTTTGAAAGGAAACCAAGCAAGTAAGTAGCAAGCAGAATTCTGCTTGCTGGTTACTTGCTTGGCTTACCATTTTTACCCTGTGGATGGAGGCAGTATGATCCTCCAAAACGTTTGTGAACTTCTACAAGATGACAACTTCATTTTCCAAGAAATCTCACTCCTCACTGGTGTGAGGAGTTCAAATCCTGTCATTATGTCTTTGTCTTGTTTTAAGTAAATGTGTGGCCTGTCATGACAGTCTTGAACACACTGATGTGCAGCAGGTTCACATGGGTCCCTTGTTATAGCAGTGTGCTGGTGCATCCTCAGTTTCAACACACGGTACTGAGTATGATATTTGGACCTAAGGAGATGACATAATGATAGACTGAAGTAAATTATATAATAATGAGCATTTTAAACCCCTCTCTTAACATAATATTGTTAATCTAACTAACCCCATGGAGCTGAGTCCTTCTTGAGAACCCAGCAGTTGTGCAGCTACTCAAGAATCTCCCAACATTTTATACAACTTGAAGGTTCATTACCATGTTCACAAGAGCTCTCCACTAGTCCTTATCCTGATCCGGATCAATCCAGTCCACCACCCCAACCTATCTCTCTAAGATCCATTTTGATATTATTCACCCACCTACATTTTGTCTTCCTAGTGGTCTCTTTCCTTCTGTTTTTGCCACTGGAATCTTATATGTATTTCTCTTTGCACCCATTCATGCTACGTAGGCTGCCCCTCTCATCCTAACCTAATATTGTTAAGGTGATTAAATCATGAATGTTGTCATGAGCTGTGCATGTAGCGTGTGTGAGAAACTCCTGCAAAATTTTGTTCAAAGAGATCCACTTGTGGATGGGAGGACAGTATTAGGATCAGTTATTGCAAAGTAGGATGTCAAGTAGATTCAGTTCAGTAAAGTGTCCATGAATGGGTTTCAACTTCTCAGAGAAGTTTGTCTGTGCCACTGACTGCTAAGCATGTGGTCCTGTTTCAGTTTCGTGAAGATATGGGCAGGTCCATGCAGACTGCCTCACTGAGATTGGATGACAGCATGAACCTCCACAGGCGGGTGCAGGATCGAGAGCTGATTGAGATGCTCGACGAGGGCTATTGCTTGAGCTTGCACCAGCCCTGGGCATCACTACTTGTTGCTGGGATCAAGTTGTAAGTTCTGGGGTGTGCGACTGGCCAGATCTGGTGCAGATTTTTCAACATACCTTCCTTTGATACGGCCAAGACTTTGTGTGTATGGGTTTCCACCCTGGTTTGCGTCCCATGTAAATATCAGACCTTTCCCATTCATCATCAGCATCTTTGGGAACAAAGTGGAAATCAGCTATATGGTTGCTCCAGTATGACACTGCATTATATTGGTTTTTATGGAACCAGGTGGCTATCATGATGCCCCTATAAGCAAACTCCAGCACTTCATTTGAGGTGTAGGACTGGTGAAGGGTTAAACTAGAGGAGTATGCACAGTAGATTATTGAAAGTCGCATTGCCAGGGCCAGCAGTTAGGCCCAACCTTTGTATATGTATGTATTTATTTATTATATTATGTTGAGTCATTTGTCGGTCAGATGGAAGCCAGATATGAACTATATTAGCAACTTGCAGTGGATCAGCTTAGTATTCATGGCCAGATCATGGATAGTGACATGTTTACTGTCCACTCTGTTCAGGCACGAGGGCCGCACATGGTACACATCCCACCGAGGCTGTCTGTGGATTGCTGCAACTGCGAAGGTCCCCATGCCACAAGAGATACAGGATGCCGAACATTCATACGAAATTCTGAATGGAGGTGAGCTAACTGCAGAACTGAATCTGTTGTTCTGAGGGAGTTTGTCAGTAAAGTGCTCAATCAGATATCTGGACCTAAGGGAGATACGAATAATATATAACAAAACACATTTTAATTACTTATAAGAGTAAGGTGATTTATTTAGGGCTTCTATCATAGTCACTGGCATTGCATGTTCGAATATGACACTCTTGGAAATGTACAATGGCATTTGCTCTGTTATTAGCTGTAGATTTGATGTTGTCACGTAAATATTTTGAAACAAATGGCCAGACAAGCAAGAACTTCTAGTATAAAATCTGAATAAAACCAGTCCAGCAGTTCTTGAGGTTGTGGATGGTACCACACAAGAATTCAATTTTTTTTTAATTATTACAGAAACTGTAAGACTTAGGAGACAGAATATGGAGCATAAATATACGTATAAATTTTCTTCACAACTTTTGTTTGAAGCTTCTTTTCTAGAATGTGTGGCAGATTATGCTCCAGATGCTTGCAGAAACAGATGTAGGGCTTCATGTAAAGTATTCATTATTTCTATCTAATTTTAATCACGATTGAAGTGTACCAACAAAATTTTAGCATCACTACACTGTCAAATTGAATGGAAATCCATTCAGTGGTTCTAAAGTTGTTACTTACAGACAGACATAGTGGAACTAATAGGCCCATTTTTGGAACTCTTCATTGGAAACATACTAAACACGTATTTTTTGTTACTGACCTTCATTACTGCTGTATTTCTGTCTTGTGCATAGATAAGATATGCTTGTCAGAACACTCGTAATGATGTCATTCACTTATGAGCTTGCATACAAACATGTATAGATAACTGAACTGTGATGGCTACCAGACCTTGATATACTATGTTATGAGTGCAGGCTGGTTCTCCCTTCATATAGGCAAGAAGATGTGGTTCCCATCACAGTATCCCACCGGCTGTCTTCTGGGATGTGTGCATGTAGTTGACTGCCTGCCCCAGGAGGAGTACCGCATCAGCTTCCCACATGGGGAGAGTGACAGCCCATTTGTTTTCATATGTGAAGATGCCAAAGAGTTGCCCATCCGATTTCCAATACAAGGAAAACACAAAATATGTAAGAGCATACATCATTCCATTTCATGTTATATTGCTTTCTTAATGTTATGCATCTTGGCATGTTGCAGTATACTACTTTATTAATGTTAAGCCAGTATGACTGAAGCATTTATTAACTAGTGCTCAGCTGCACATAACAGATCAGTTGGATATCCATGGTTCTTTGTAATGGAGATGTGTGGCAGGAATTGTTGATCTTGTGATATTTCATTTGGAGCGGGGGCTCTTATGAAGAAATGAAGAATGTTGGTGTTGGGAAGTTCCATCTTTACTTCAACATTAGTTTTCTGTGGTAACTCGTTAACCATTAAAATTTAATATCTATTATGTACCATTCTGGGTTTAAGAAGTTCTGTTTCAGTTCTTTCTTTCTTTTCTCTCTCTCCCTCTCTTTTTTTTTTTAAGTTCGTCATTTAAGGACACTGTCATTATTGAGGCTTTATGGCATCGGATGATAGCATGATTAATGAATATGGAGCAGTTTTCAGGGGAACTGAAGGACTCAGAGAAATCCTGCCCCAGTGCCATGTGGTCCACCAGAAATCCCTCGTGGCCTGACCTGGGATCGAACCTAGGCCACCATGGTGGGGACTGGTATGTAACCACCTGAGCTATAGCAAAACTGATTATTTCTTGATAGCTGATATTTGTATATAATGGTGACATTTTAGGCATAAGGACAAACATTTGTGTCAATAACATTGCTTGAACTGTTCTCACATTATGAGAGCACATTTCCAAAACATCTAGAGTGTTTTAACAGTGTACTGTTATCACTATCGCAGGTAGGCAGGCTTCCTTCACTTATTTGAATTTTAACTGTTTTCTGTGTCAGATAAGCTGGATCCAAAAATCCATACAGCTGCTCGAAAGTCCTTGCAGAGGATGGCCCAGTTGCAAGCAGAACAAGCCACGATGAAATGAAGTGCTGGGTGCCTGGGAGCAGTTGTAGATATACATTTCTGTACACTTCTTTGTTGTCTCTCCCACTCCAGACTCCTGTCAACCAAATTTATATCTGCTTTTTTGTGTTGGTCAAGGTGATACAACAAAGTTGTTATACAAAGGTATAAAGTTGGTCTTGGCTGAACAATTTGTTTCATTTGATTTCTGAAGGAAGTGCCCAGTACTATGAAATCCCTTCCTTGGAATAGATCTTGAACCGTATTATTTTAGTATCCTCTGTTCCAGCCTGATATTTGCTTTTCACTTCACCCTTCGTCTCCCAAGTGTGTCTTTCTCACCCTTTCCTGATTTTTGAACATGTAGGACAGTAATGGTTTTCCAAAGACCTCTCAAATAATTAGGAAATTTCCAGTTTTTTATGGAATTGAAAGATCTGTTACTGTCTCCACAAGAATTTGCAGTAGGATCCTTTCTGGAATCAGATCAGTCCAGTCCACACCCTGTTTCTTTAAGATCTGTTTCAGTACATGGTAACCCCCATTCAGCATTCCTCAACTTAAGGTTTTCCCTCATGTAATGTTCAGTTCAGTGATCCTAAGTCAGTGGTCACAGTGTTTTTTTTTTAAGAGTTTCCTTGGTTTGGGTTCAAATCCACTTTTCCCCAGAAAACCTTAAATGGAAGCTTTGCTGTATTATCATCCTCCCACATGCCCTCTTCACTTCTTATATTCAGACTAAAATACTGTATGGATTTTGTGTGTGTCCCCTGTATGCTACTCTTCCCCCTTGTTTTCAGTTTTGTCACCGTAATATTATTGGGTGGGTGAAGTACAAATTATGAAGCTCATTAAGCAATTTTCCCCAGCTTCTATTATTTCCACTTTCTCAAGTCCAGATATTTTCTTTAGCAGTAATACTCTGCAGTATCATTTTTACTATCCTGATGCTACAGAAGGCATGGATTGATTCCCTCCACATCAACTTTGGCTTTTTTCCCCTTCATCATACTTCCTCATGTTTGTGTCCAGTTATCTGACCATTCTGTTCATACAAATGTTTGTAATGATACCGACAACATAACCTTCACTATTATTGACCATAAGGTGCTAGAGTGACAGAGGAATAGGGAGAGAGGGGGGAGGTCTCGAACAGTCTTAAGTACCATAGTCCTGGCCATCCATGGGACTTCAGCAGCCTCAGTATAGTCCTGGTTTGTATACACATGCCTGTTCAATGCAATAATGGGCAATCTATAAATTACACACAAAAAAAGAAAAATGGTTATTACTTGTAGTGAGAACACCTCAGCAAAACAAAGCAAACATTTTGGGCATGAAATTCACCTCTTTGGGCTCTTTCTGATTCAGTGTTTAAAATGACTCCACACTCATTATATACAAGTGTAAAACAAATTTTACAATGTTATTAAAACATTATTTTTTTTTCAATTTCAATTGGCTTTTGCAAAAGCCATCAAACTGAATGCTGCAGTTCACATACTGGACCTGTCAGTCGTGGGTCATGTGTCAGTGAAGAATACGTTGCAGATCCGTGATGCTGATCATCACAAAAAAGGGGGGGGGATATTAGCTTCAGTAGTGCAATAGCGAATGTAACGTCTGCAATATTGAATTGTGAGATATGGTGAGATTTCTTTAACTATAAAATTAAACTGGCTTGTAAGGGAATAGAGATTTAAACAATTTCAACCAGAATGACCATGATCAATAACATTAGAAACTTGGAACAAGAGAAATCAGTGTAGGAAAATGCTGACAATGAACTTTTTTTTTTCTGTATGCCATAACAGCGAAAACTTACATAAAAACTTGTATGTTTTCACTGTTTGAAAAGTAATAAGCACATCAAGGAAATTGGCAATCTCAATTTTCAAGAACTGTGATCAGCCTGAGTTGAACATTTTACTGAATGGAGCAGCGCAAATTGAGGAAATGGCAACACAACTCAAGGAAAGACCAAAAAAAAAAAGAACCTCAACTTCCAGGCAATGGATCATGCCAGTCTTCTCGCAATTGCTTTGCCGCGTAGTGTTTTAGTGTCAGCTGTTCTATAACGCGCTTTGGTGATTCATTTGTTTCTGAAATTGATGAAGCTGCTAATTTTATTTTTGTGCACTTAATTGAGCGAGAACCCGGTATATATGACACCACCCAGACTGTGCTAGGCTGGACTAATTAGATTTGGCTTGGAATGGAATTTCTCATGAGACAAAGGAGTCTGGATCCAGGTTAAATTTAAATTTCCACAGAAGAATGGAAGCACCCAGTGTTTTCTTTTCCTAATGTTGTATTTAAGCATCCTGATGCATTAATATATCAGTTATTTCACATATATTGCCGCCTTAAATACAACCTATATAGTCACCCTTCTTCCACATTATGTGGTTCGGCTATATACGACCACCGGCAGATGTCTTCTATCTTGTTAAGATTGTTGCCCTCTTATGTTAATATTTCGTATCTCGTGTGAACGCGATATTTCCTGATTAAGATAAATTTACCTTAATTCAAATTAATTATACATCCTAGTATTTTCCTTTGTCTGTTGTCCAAAAACATAAAAATTAGAATATACAAAACTATAATTTTGCCTGTGGTTCTGTATGAGTGTGAAACTTAGTCTCTGACATTAAGGGAGGAACATAGACTGAGGGTGTTTGAGAACAGGGTGTTGAGGAGAATATTTGGACCAAAGAGAGATGAAGTCACAGGAAGTTGGAGAAAACTGCATAATGAGGAGCTTCATAACTTGTACCCTTCTCCAAGTATAATTAGAATGATCAAGTCAAGGAGGATGAGGTGGGCAGGTCATGTAGCACGAATGGGGGAGACGAGGAATGCATATAGGATATTGGTGGGAAAGGAAGAAGGAAAGAAACCACAGGGAAGACCAAGGCGTAGGTGGGTGGCCAATATTAGAATGGATCTTAGAGAGATAAAATGGGGTGGTATGGTATTGATTGGATTGATCTGGCTCAGGATAGGGACCAGTGGAGGGCTCTTGTGAACACGATAATGAACCTTCGGCTTCCATAAAATTCTGGGAAATTCTTGAGTAGCAGTAGAATTGGCGGCTCGTCCAGAAGGGCTCAGCTCCATGAGTAAGTAAGTAAGTATTTTCCTTATGGTCATCCTCTTTTCTCACGCCATCACAACTGGCCTCAACTACCAACATATTATGACAGGGTCAGTATTATTATCATCCGTTGGAGAAGGTAAGTGCACGAAATTAAAAAATACAGTCATGTATTATGTCGGACAAACATACCCATTTAAGACGATTTGAGCAACGAATCAAACATAAGTTTCCTCAGTGGGCACCTGCTAATCTGGAAATCAGTTGCCTCTTTGAAATCGGCGACTTTTCACGGAAATTGCGTTGCGGTTGCCCGTTTCCTTGTTGTGCAAAATTGTGTAGTATGAAGCTGTGGTGTGTTTACCTTATCTCAATTTATGTGGCGTGTTTACGTGGTGAGTTCATGTGAACATAAACGATGTTGATAAACATTCATTCTCCTTCTCCTGTATATTTAATAATTAAAAAACTTAACTTACCGTGATCAAGTTCGTTAAACAATTATAACCATAAATTTTCATTCTCTTTCTCTCGAGTTAATTAGTTTGGAAATTTGAATAAATAAATTATTGATATATCTGCCTAAAATAGGAATTTGTATCCAGACAAAATATATCTTGGATAATATTTATCAGCTGTCACCAAAGTTCTGTATTGAAACATAACCACAATCTGAGGAAGTTATGCATGGAAAATATTCAACCATAACGCAAGTGGGCGGAACCAAGTACGAACGTAGTAGTGGTAGTAGGAAGTCTGTGTATTCTTACAGGCACTATTAATTCTCCTTTAATAGAAAATACTGACAGTTATGTATATTATAAGTCCAGTGGACACTTCGTTCGATAGTATTATAAATTATACAGATAATGAAGATTACTGTCTTTTGGTATATGACGTAGTGTAATTTTCCGTACAAGGTTTCAGCGAAACTTAATTAAAATATCTTCTTGTCTTTTATTCCTAATCACACCTTATGTTTCGACCATAAAATGGTAATCATGGGGGAAAATAAACAAAAATAATAAATACATTTACACAGCAAGGTAAAGATCCAAAGAATACGTGAATTATGGAAAAATGTAAGAAGCAAATGGTAGGTGAGATTTGTCGTAATTTTAAATGGGTATATGTACGTTTATTTCTGTTCTGTGTGAACTCTTCAGCAATTTCATCCAAAATTACAGTTCAATGTCGCAGGTTTAGTTAGAGTGGCCTTTTTTACATTTTTGGCAGAGGGGGGATATTCTGAAACTGGGAGAATGCCCACAGAAGATAAATAAATCTCTAGCATGAGAGCACAAATAATACAGTAGGACATGAAGCAGAAGCTTTATAAGTATCCAATGAATTTTGGAAATGACAGTGACTGTATAGTGTGATTGGCACTGTCTGTCAGTACATGTATCCATGTAAAAGTAGGGCACATACAACCTAACTTATTGCTTTTCATGTATGCTGTATTTGGCACTGTCTGTCAGTACATGTGCCCATGTAAAAGTAGGGCACATACAACCTAACTTACTGCTTTGCACGTTTTTATACATTATATATATGTTTTTAATCTCCCAGCCCTACGGTGTACATTTTTACTATTTTTGTGTCTTCTACCCGATGATGGTCATTTTATGCACGAAACATGTAATGTGTGATTAGGAATAAAAGAACAAGGTTTTTAATACCAGTTTGTGTGATGATTAATCTCAAACCTTGAATGAAAAAAAAAGTAAACAGGATGCAGTCATATAAAATGGCTGTGTATTTTGGTAGACAGGTATCAGTGTTTTGGAGGAACTTCTTGCTTTCATCCTCAGGGCAGAGACATTAAGAATAAAGCTCTGATATAAGAAAGGAGCAGGGCCAATAGTAGGTGGCATTTTAACGGAGGGCAAATTAGGGGGAAGAGGGAAAATGAATGATGAGAGATATAGTGTGGGTAAGAGAGAATGGACCAAAATATAAATGAACTGGATAAACAATAAAATCAGTTCATAGGTTGAAGTAAGTAATATTAGTGTAACTGGGACACTTGGTTGGCACAGTGACTAGGCTGTGGTGGGCTAAAAACCCAAGAAATCACTATTTGGTTTCTGGCAGGAGTGAGAGATTCTTCTCACCACAGCTGCTGGCTCTGGGTCCCACCCAGCCCCTCTGTTCACTATTTGTTCTTATCCCTTTCCCCAGGGATAAAGTAGCTGGGGTATATACTCGGTATTTGGTCGCTCGTGTGTTCATATAGTTAGTGCCAAAGTTAAATATGTGTGGAGTATTCCTCCAGCCCCCATACAGTTTTATTGTATGGCTCTTGATTAAGCTCAAGGACAACTTTTCCTTTAAATTAAATACAATTAAAGTGAGGGTCTGTAGGGATATCAAGAAACAAGTGGAAAAATAGAAGAAGAAAGCTCCAACAAAAGGCACTTGTGTGGAGGGCAGATGTCCGGAGGAAATAAGAAAACTATATAGAAAGAAGGAAATGACAAAACAAAATGGAATAGAAAAAATGACAAGGAGTGAGAGTTAAAATAAAAAAGCAGGATGGCTGGAATGTAAAGCCCAATAACTATTTCGCCTGTAAAGGGCTGGTTTAGGGGCAGAACAATGTGGACACACTGAGAACAGAGGTAAATCAATTTCTGTTTGTAGAATTTCTGAATATTATAGAACTCTAGTGCACCTCATTCAGTGTAACATGAAAGGATGTATGGTTGAAAGTTGGTGGTGAACATTTGAACTTAAATGAAGACCTCTACCCTTTGTGCAGTATGAACACTGAAATACTGGCCTCGCAGATGTGTCCACATGATTTCACATGTTATGTTGTATTGCTTTCAGTAAGTGCTGACAAACCATGTGCTCCTCGAGAGTTTGGGGCAGGCAACATAGTGTGTGTTTGCAACATGACATATTGTGATACAATAAGCAAGGTGGCTCCAGTGCCAGTGGACCAGTTTGTACAGTATTCAACCTCTCGGTCAGGCTTACGCTTTCACAGGACGCTAGGATCGTTTTCTGATTCTCCTCACCCAGGAGGTAAGGGGCTAATTACATTACATTGCATTCCATTCCATTCCATGGATCCAAAGTTAGTCAAAGTGACTGTAGGCTGTGGAATATATCATATTAATACAAAACACATGTATAGTCCTATTGGAGTTCTCACACAAGAGAAACCAAGAATACACAGTGACTACACACAAGACTATTTAAAGATTCTTAAGTTATTTCTAGACAACAAGTATTCATCAACAGAGTAGAATGAATGTGTATTTAAGTATCATTTCAGTGCCATTTTAAATCGTGTCTTTTCATTCATAAGACCTTTGAGATCAGATGGCAGGTTATTAAAAATTTTGATCCCAGCATAATATGCGCTTTTCTGAAAGCATGAGAGGTTAGAAATTGGTTTATGAAGACAGTGTTTGTGTCTTGTGTTAACACTGTGTACATCCACATTCATCTGAAAATGTTCTTCGTTATTTGTAATGAAGGAAAAGTTGAGATCTGTAGTCTCTGAAATAGATCTCTTCAGGAATTACCGTATTTGACACCCATCATGATTCTAACTATTTTCTTTTGCATTGTAAATACCTTTTTACTGTCAGATGAATTATCCTGGAAAATTATTCCATACTTCATTAAACAGTGAAAGTGAGCAAAACAGATTGGTTTGCGCATGTCAATGTTACTAATATGTAACATGAATCTAACTGCATAACATGCTCTACTTAGCTTTGGAATCAACTGATTGATATGGTTTTTCCAGTTTAAATGATTATCAATTTGCAAGCCAAGAAATTTTGTATTTACTCCCTCTTCTATATATTTATCATTATATCCTATGTTTAATGGATATTGTGGTGAGTTTTTGTTATAAATTCTGTTACATTTGTTTTTTCTAGGTTCAGTGACAGCTTGTTTGCAGAAAACCACTTACTCATTTGTGAAAGAACCTTGCTTGATAACATGCAGAAATCATCTAAATTTTTACCAGAAATTATAACACTAGTGTCATCAGCAAATATTATAGGTATTGATAAGGTCCTTAGTGTATGCGGGGGGTCGTTTATATCAATTATTGATTGATTGATTGATTTATTTCGTCACTGTAGATCATTGTACATGATATATGACAAGTCAAGTTTATATGAAAAGCAAATGCCCCAAAATTGACCCCTGTAGAACTCCATATTTTATTATTGCCCAGTTTGAGTAGGAACATTGGGTTGAATTTGATGATTTTATTTCAATCTTTTATTTTCTCTCTGTTAGGTAGGATCTGAACCAACTTAACATTGTTCCTTGAATGCCAAGAAAATGTAATTTAGTTAATAAAATTTCATGATTTACACAGTCAAAAGCCTTTGCCAAGTCACAGAATATTCCACCAACATGCATTTTCAATGGAAATTCCTTTCCTAAAGCCAAACTCTTCCGTTACTAGTATATTGTTACTCTGAAAATAATGGCTTAACCTATTGTGCATAACTTCTTCAAGTACTTTAGAGAAAGTAGTTAGCAGTGAAATTGGCCTGTAGTTTGACATACTAGTCTTGTCCCCCGTTTTACATAGTGGTCTTTCTACTGAAATCTTAAGACGATCAGGAAAGATTCTTGTGGATAGTGAGTGATTACAGATGTGAGTTAATGGGCTACTGATTAGAGATGCACAAACTTCTAAAATTTTACTTTTTATTCCATCATAACCTGAAGAGTTTTTTGTTTTGATGGAATGTATTATACTTTTTATTTCAGTTTCAGTGGTTGGAATGGTTTTAATACCAGGGAATTTTCTAGGAAATGCCTCTCTTAAAAATTGAAAAGCCATCACCTCCTCACTTCCTGATCTAAGATTAGATTTTCTGTAATTGTTAGAAAAAATGTATTGAAGGCTTCTGTACTCCTGGGTCCTCAACTTTCTCATCATTTATAAGGAGAGATGGTATCTGTTCAGTCAGATGTGATTTTCCTGTTTTATGTTTTATTATATTCCAGGGTGTTTTTATCTGATTATTCAATTTTGTTATAAGCCTACAGTAATGCTGCCTTTTAGCCTCTTTTATAACTCTAATCAGGATTTTTCAATACCTTATGTAGTATGCTCTCATGTAGGCATTATTACTGCTCCTGCTGTCTACATACAGACCCCTTTTATGTTTACAAGATATTTTTATTCCTTGTGTAATCCAGTGGTTTTTTATTCTGCAGAGGAAAACTCTTCAAAGATATTTATAAAAATATGTAAAAAAGAGTTAAACTAATAATTTGTAATCCTTATTTTTGAAAACAGGTTCCCACGTTTCATTTCCTAACAGATGTTGAAATTGAGGAATGGTTTCACTATTTATTTTTCTGGTTCTCTGTTTGAAGGGTGTTGAATTTACTTCTGCAATAATATTATTTACTGTAAGAAATTGGGCATCATGGTCAGAGAGGCTGTTGAGTATAGGAGATGTACAAAAAGAGCTTAACCTTGCATTATCTATAAAGATATTATCAGTGGCTGTGCTTGAGGAATTTTGAACTCTTGTTGCGAAATTCACTGTGTGTTACAGATTGTATGTCCTTATTAAAGAGTTTACTTGTTTATTCTGACTGCTTTCATTTAAATAGTTTATGTTTATGTCTCCACAGATTATAAACTCAGACTTTGGATTGTACAGATATTTTAAAGTTGCATCTAGTCTCCTTAGAAATTCAGTAACCTCTCCTGAAGGGGCTCTGTACAGGCTTAATATAATTAGGTGAGATGTTTTAGTTACTAGCTGTATTGCACATATTTCAAAGTCTTGCTCCTTACAGTGATGAGAAACATCAGTTTTACTGAAATGTAGATCAGTCTTAACAAAAATCTGCTCCCACCCCTCCTGCCCCCCCCCCTCCATAGGCTCTTTCGGCAGAAACTTGAGCCTAACAGGTAACCATTCATTGAGAGGAGCAGCAGCTCCTGTTTAACCATGTAATGTTCACTTAAACATAATATGTGAGGGTTTATGTTGTCTATTTCAAAAGAGTGGAGTAATTCATCACTTTTGCTTCTCAAGCATCTGATATTTTGGTGAAAGATATTTATTGAATTTAATGTTTCTGCATTTTGTCTATGAATTTCCGAGGCGCTATGCTACAAGCTGGAAGTTCGCGGGTTCAGGTCCCAATGAGGTCATTGGATTTTTTTCAGTTGACCTAATCCTTCCAGCCACACTAGGCCCTGGGGTTTATTCAGCCTCTAACAGAAATGAGTACCAGGAATGAATTAAATAATTTTCCTGTGAAGTAAAGTGCAGCCGGCTGGTAAGGCTGACAACCTTACCCCCATCTTTGAGCCGACTGTCAGATAGTGTGGGACCCTCAGCGTCTCACAGCCCTATGGGCCTTCATGGCCTGGTACAGCAATAGCTTTACTTACTTTTTACTGGACTGCATTTAATATATGTTAGACATCTTGGTGCTTTTGAATTTAATCTGAGAAAGGAGACACTCTAGCATTGGTTATAAGAGGAATACTGCTTATACCTGACGCATGACCACCAACACCCCTCTCAGCAATAAGCTGCATGAGGCTCTTCTTGCCTTGAGAGCTCATGTGCAGGCCATGCGTTGTGTAATCTTCCCTCACAATTAATGATGTGTCAGTAACACCAGTGTGAACCATATCATGACCCATCAGGGCCCAATCAAGCCTTAGATTCGTGCTCCTAACCCTCCCATTCATCCACAGCTTGTCGTGCCTCTCAAAGAGGCTGACAAATCCCACATTGGTGTTTGATGTCCTCTCTGCAATGTAGTTGAGATCATTTTCAATTGAATAATGATAATATCTATCCAGGCTGTTTCCTGGCCCTCCCACTATAATAATATGATCTTGCTTGGTAAGGCCTTTACCAAGGTTCCCTATATCCTCCACAACCTTTGCAAGAGGAGCATTTGGTTTGAAAATGCTACATATGGAAAGTTTAGTTCCCAGATTTTCTTGAAGCATGGGACCAATTTCCTTGCCATGCCTACTTCCCAGTAATAATGAGCCAAGCAAGGTGGCTTGTGTGGTAGGACTTGTGACTTCCATTCAGGAGGTTTCCTATCTGAATCTTGACCTTGACATAGAATATCCTGTCTGTGGCCTTACAGTTTCTGTTAGTCCCTGAATCAAATGCTAGGATAAAATGGGCACAGTGAGTGACATGGTTCTGAATTTGTTGTATTTCTTTATTTCTTACCACGAGACCTCTGCAGCTAGTGACAGGCTGCACAGTCTCAATGGTTATGCATGTCTTCAGTTTGTTTGCATCCTTTTACATTGAACCTGCTTCAGAGTAAGTAGAGATGTAATGATAATTGTCTAATTGCAGTAATTCTCTGATTATGTTAAACTTTTTGGTGCAATCTGAGCTGTCAGGACTCAGATGCATGCTTCCTACTGATAGCAATGTTCACTAACACAGTTGTGTCATTTGTGTTCACAGGAGTTCATTTCACACTAAATCTGACAGCAAAGTACCAGAGGATTTGGGGTTTTGGAGGTGCTTTTACTGATGCTGCTGGAATAAATATAGAATCCTTAAGTTTACAAGCAAAAGAAAACCTGATGAGGTAGGAGAAATTGTAGTAATACATACACTGATTGATATTAGAGAATAACATAGTTCACTGAAGCAGATATTTATGTGGAGAGGTTTGCATGTCTTACTTACAAAGAAGTTTTACTGTATACATTGGATAATCTAGGGTGATCAGAAGTTCAAATTTTGTGGCCACGTAAAGCTTCCATACTGAAATTTAAAGTTTGAAATGACGATAGAACAAAATGAAGTTTAACATGTTTATATTTATAACTCATCATATGTAATTCTGGTAGAAAGATGTTTTGAAAATGTGGCACAGTTCAGGTATTTGGGAACAAATCAAACAAATCAAAACCTGATTCAAGGGGAAATTAAGAGGGATTGAAGTCAGGTAATGCTTGCTGCCTTTCAGATCAGAACCTTTTTGTCTTCTCATTTGCTATCCAAAAACATAACAATTAGAATATACAAAACTATAATTTTGCTTGTGGTTCTGTATGGGTGTGAAACTTGTTCTCTGACATTAAGGGAGGAACATAGACTGAGGGTGTTGTACTCTTCTCCAAGTATAATTAGAATTATGAAGTCAAGGAGGATGAGATGGACAGGGCATATAGCAAGAATGGTGAGAAGAGGAATGCATATAGGATATTGGTGGGAAAACCAGAAGGAAGGAGACCACAGGGAAGACCAGGGAAGTATTAAAATTGATCATAGAGAGATCGGATGGGATGGTATGGATTGGATTGATCTGGCTTAGGATAGAGACCGGTGGATATTGGTGGGAAAACCAGACGGAAGGAGACCACAGGGAAGACCAGGGAAGTATTAAAATTGATCATAGAGAGATCGGATGGGATGGTATGGATTGGATTGATCTGGCTTAGGATAGAGACCAGTGGAGGGCTCTTGTGAACACGGTAATGTACTTTCGGGTTCTAAAAAATGCTGGGAAGTTCTTGTGTAGCTGCACAATTGGTGGCATCTCAAGAAGGGCTCAGCTCCATGAGCGAGTGATTGTCATGTTCTGTATAGCTTACATTGATCAATAAATCAGCAATGAATAAACAGATAAACAGAACATGTATGTTTTGAGGCTGTGTGTCTGTCTGCACAGGTCCTACTTCTCAACAGATGGGATTGAGTTCAATTTTGGTCGTGTTCCAGTAGCTGGATCTGACTTCTCAACACACACCTACACATATGATGATGTGCGGGGAGACACTAACTTTACACAATACAATTTGACAGATGAGGATTTCTTCTACAAAGTGAGTTAACCTCATCAGGCCTTTGGAGTTTGGACATGTTCAAGGTTTAAATTCTCTTCTAGATCTCTCAGGCGTGTAGTTATTTAAATTTGTTGAGGTGTCCAGAATATCCATATGGAGAATTAAACTGCTGTTGACTAATGTCATCTCCAAGGCATGGTTGACCACTCTGTCCAAACAGCCATACCACGTCCTTGAAATGTTTTATAGTTTTATGTTATATTCTGGTAGTATTTTATCTCGTCATCAACATATGGCAGCCTTATGATCTCTTATGATCTTCTGTGTCCTTCTTTACCAACAAATGCATTGTGTTGATTATTATACCCAGAAAGGGATATAAAAAAAGTTAACACTGCAACAGCAGCTTTTGTATGTAAGTGTACCAATTTTCATATGATGTAACTTCATCACATATTTTTCTTGTGTTTTATTTATTTTATAACTTACATATAAAGGATCAATTGTGGGAGCTGAGGAAAGAAGTCCACTTCTGAGAGGTTTCGTGTTCACTGAGTTATAGTTCATTAGTTTGTAGATTGTTTAATGATGCTGTTTCAGTTATTTAACAGTGCATTTTAAACTGCATGAAGTGTATGGTATCATATGGGATGTGAACTGTAGTTAACAGGGAGAGGTGTGGCAGTAAACATGCAATGTATGTTTGATGGTACTGTACAGCCAAGGGAACCATGAGTTAGATTAGTGGTACCATTCTGAAGAAGGATTTAAATTATTTTATAAATGTGGTAGCTAGACAATATTGTGATTACCAAAAAAAATACGATATTTTTTTCTGGTACCATTCTGTGGCTTTCACATCCACTTGGTGCACAAGGTTCATCTCTTCCTGTTATATTGTTTGTCCTAACTTACACCAGCCAGGCATAAGATAATGGGAAAAACTGAATTTAAGAATAAGGTTAATTGTTATGACCTATTGATTATGGTGATCTTTGGATTTGATTGTCATTTCTGCTGTGCCACATGTGACCAAATGAAATTCATATTCATATTTTTATTGGTTCCAGAAAACCACATTTTGCAGTACAGCCTCCAGATATAGAAAAAGTCAAATTATTTGTATAAAAGTCAACAATACTATAATATTTTACTACATACACAAATTGTGTACATGTCCAACATACCATATAAAACTATATTAAAAATTTAAGACAACATAAATTCCCCAACAGAGTAACCAATTCAGTCCATTTCACATCAATCAATCAACCAATCTATTCTTCCTTCCTCGTCATATCACTGTCATAGGAAAACGTTCCATACACATTAAACATACAATAGTTCTATTTCTATAATTAAAAATAAATACTTCCCTTTCACAAACATACCATCTTTAATTTAACATATATTCCTCTACAGAATAAAACGTATCTTGTACCAAATATGACCTCATTTTTTCTATCTCCCTAATTTTATTTGGTATTTTATTGTATAATTTTATTCCCATGTTCAGTACTCCTTTCTTATAGTCATTTGTTCTGCAAAACTGAGCATGGAGATTTAACTTATGGCATGTATTGTGATATGAACTACATTATTTTGTTCTAACTTTTCTAAATGTAGTTTAACATGGCATACTATTCCAAATATATACATACAATGTAGTGGAAGTAAGTTTAAATCCTTAAAACGTTGTCTGCATGATGCTAATCTATTCACACTACTAATTATTCTAACAATTCGTTTCTGCAATTTAAACATAATGTTACTTTTTGGGTCGCTACCCCGGAAAATTAAACCATACTTCAAATAGGCATAGAAGTGAGTAAAGTGAATACTCCTTATAAACTGCCGGCTTGTTACATCCCTAAGGGATTTTATCATGTAACAGACTTTATGAAGTTTTGAATTGATTACCAGAGTCCCAAAAGTCAACTTCTGAATGCTGAGTAGGGAATTTTTCCACAAGCCAACATGTTTCGGTCACCGTTGATGAAGAGGGAACCATGTGTTTTGATCCCTGTTTCTTAACACAAGTGAGATGTGCTTCTGCCACACTAACCCTGACTTCCCATTTCTGTCAGATTCCCCTGATCAAAGAAGCGCAAGAGTTAAGTGAGAGAGGGCTTCACCTGGTGGCATGTGCGTGGACTGCCCCTCCATGGATGAAAACAAATGGTGACTACTCAGGGTTTGGTTTCCTGAAGTCAGAGTACTACCAGGCCTGGGCCGACTATCTTGTGAAGTGAGTGACAGAACTCTGGTCTACAGCACCAGAATGCCACATCCCTTGTCTGAGTTGCATGCCCATAGTGCCCTTGGTTTGGAAACTTCAGCAGTAGTGTAAATCTCCATAAATTAGAAAGTTCCTTGTTACATAATATTCTACTCTCCTCTCTTATTTTATGTGTCTAATATCTGAATATTTCTTATTAACTTTGTTTTATAAGTTGTGTATTTATGTTTTGTCATCAAAGAGACCTCTTTTCTCAATCATACACAAGAAGTGGTATGATAATTGTTTTATATTTAGTGGTTTCGAATGTACACAGGAAAATTACTGTTTCTGAACTAATAATAACAAGCTTTCTCTAAATATATTTTTGTATTTAAGTTTATATTGCTTTTGCCTTGTTACCTGCGGTAAGTATCACAGAATATCAGAGCCATGAGAGTAAAGACTATTTCTGCCACATTTACTACTCATAAGTCATGAGATGCTGTATCCTCCACATTTGATTCAGGCTTGATGTACTCAATATTCATCGTATGATGCTTCTGTTTATCTGTAAGCCTGTCAAATTCCCCAGTAAACTCAGCAAAGTAGCCACTTTCCAAGCATGTCTGCAGCATCACAAATTGAAGTCTGTACATCTGGTGAGGCACACATAAACATGTAACACTGTACAGTCATATTTGTTATTTCACCCTTTTTGTCATCAAGATCATATTCTCTTCCTTTAATTTCAGTCCTCTATTTTTGTTAGTGTAAGTGGGTCTCTTCATTGAGAAACATGATGGCAGCTCTGACATTTCACAATATAGACTTTATATTGTCAGGACAAGTCTTAATTAGTCTTATTCTCAGATCTCATGTATCTCAGTATGTGCCGGTGTCAGACTTGTACAGGTCTTTTCATGTTGCAGATTCCTTGATGAATACAAAAAGCAGGGTTTGGAATTCTGGGGCATCTCAACTGGTAATGAGCCAATAAATGGAATCATCCCAGTGAACAGATTCAACTCAATGGGCTGGACCCCATGGTCACAGAGACAGTGGATCAAGGATAATTTTGGGCCGACTTTGAAGAAGTCCCACTATACTGTGAAGCTTCTTGCACTAGAAGACCAGCGCTTCATGTTGCCCTGGTGGATAAATGTGGCAAGTGATAAATAGTTCACTTAAACATTAAAGTTTGAGGTGGTGAAAAAACATATTAGTTGAAATTGTGTCACCTACTTTTTCTCATAAGTCTCTAAAGGTCTGTGACAGTGATTAAGTCATTACATGAAGATTATGTTGGACACTGTCCACAGCCTGGGGTATATTTGATGTATACAGTATTTTGGAAACCAAATCTGTTTACATTGTCAGGTGTAAGGGGGAAAGGGATCCACATCAGTTGAGCATATTGGAAAAACTTAATCTCAATCAGTGGACTCTTCCAGTAGATGAATGCCTCAGCAAATGTACAGTGGGCAACCTTATATTCATATAATGTAATTGATCTCATTTCAGCTCATGTCAGACAAACAGGTTGAAGAATACATAGATGGCATTGCAGTGCACTGGTATTGGGACTCGCTGTTTCCACCAAGTCTGTTGGACCGCACACACAACAACTTCCCCGACAAGTTCATCCTTGCAACAGAAGCATGTGTGGGTAAGAGTTGAAGGGTGCAACTCATACTCACACTTCAGATTTGTCCATTTCCTTGTCTCTGGAAAGTGTAAAACCTAGTGAATGTGCAGAACGCCAAATGCACATACTGGCTTGTGTTTCATGTTATACCCTGAGACTCCTTTACCAGTCATCATCCTGCCGTCATGGTTAATGCGATCCTTGTTTGTTGCCATGGTGGCAGGTGGCAAGGAAGGCCAATTAGACTAACATTTCCCAAGGTGGGAGCAGCAGGCTCCCAAGGTGCCATGAAGCTCTTCCAGGGACTGATAACGAAGTTGCTGAATTAATTATAAATCCCGAAAAGAGAACATTACATTAGAAACATACAGTTTAATAGCGGAGTGCCAAATAGGTATGATAGGAATCGGTAATCATTACTTGAAATTGTTAAGTCACATTTGAGATCATTTTTATACGTTGGAGGCCTCAGACAGTTTTATTCATATCAAGGGATTCTCAGACTAAATGAGGAGTTTTGGAACCACTGCAGTAGACCATAATTAGGAGCATTAATTATGACCAGAAACAAGAGATTTTTTGTTGTAATTCTTGCTGTAGTATTTGGCTTCATATTGGTGGAAACTTGTTTCAGGAGACAAGCCATGGGAATTTGACAAAGTGAAACTTGGTTCATGGAGCCGGGGAGAGTGGTACATGGAGGACATCTTGCAGGTGTTGTACTTGGACATAGTTGCTCATATTTTGACATAAGGAAAATAAATTTTCATCCTTTACTAAAAAAACAGTTCAAGTATTTTTCCTCTTTGTGTTAATTTGGAGCATCTGTAATAGACTGTTCAGCATATAGACCAGTTGTAAAGTTGAACTATTGCATACTTTCTTCTTACACTGTAATTTGATGTTTTTTGTTGGACATGGTGCAAGGTGATATGGAGTAGACAAATGGCAGTGGAGGAGAGATTCTTTAAAATGTACAGAAGGATAAACCACAAGAGAGAAGATTTAAAATAAATATATTGGAACATAAAGGAATAAATAACAGAATAAGATGGTATTGACACATTGTAAGAATGAATGAAAATGAGTTGAAAATGTGATTTTGAACCTGAAAGAAGAATAGCCAAGCAGAAGACTAAAATTGAGAGAGGAACAGAAGGTTAGGAAAGATGTCATGCAGATAGAAGGAACTGAGGAAAGGCAAAAGCTTTGAGAATGCAGACATAGATGGTGAGGCTTGGTTGCTCATCAATCCACATAAAGTGGAAAGAAGAAGAAGAAAATGCTGTTTCTTTTTCTTCAGTTTACCTTTCGTCTTCCCTCTGTCCCTCCTCGGTGTTTATATTGGAATTTTGGTAGGCTTCAGGCTTGTAACAACTTCAGTACAGAATGCTTACCTTAAAATTTTAAATCATGATTGTATATCAGGTGGTCCAACCCTAGGAATGCCCTCTGTCTGTGTATGAACTGTTCATGTTACATTCTGTACTTTGCATGTACACTTATGGAAAGCTGAACTCAGTGACTGGATAAGACATGGTCCATTACAAATGGGAAGTGTAAAAGAAAATACTTATCTTACAGAAGAAATTTTTCAGTATCTATATAAGATTTTACTTACTTTTTAAATAGTAGTGACATAAATATCTTGACACAAACAGTTCTTCATCATGTGTTGACCATTTGTAATTGATAAGAGCAGAGAAGTTCCTCCTCCTCTTTAAGTACAGGGCTGCAAGCCTCTTATGGTTTCAGTAGAGTATTTGTGGGATACATTCACTAAAAGTGATAAAGTCTCAGGCTACCAGCCATATCAGTTGGAAACAGGTGTCTGTTTTGGAGATCTGCTGTCTCCATCATCAGAGAATATTGTGATGGCTAAACACTCCTGATCATATATGTATATAAGATCAAGGCTCCTGTTTTGGGGACAACCATTGGCCGATGAAGAATGATGGTTGGAGTCGAGTGTAAATCCATCCAGCTCACTGTCATTTAACGTGAAAATGGAGACAGCACAGGTTATGAAATGGTGGCCTTCTCTACTTAATGGATAGGCTGGTAGCCTGAGAAGATTTCATAAACAGTCATGAAGTTTATCAATATCTCCTTTTCTTCAAGAATGGTAATTTAGATTAAGTTTTGATATTCTCTTTTCTGACACTGTGTACCTGCTAGCAAGTATTTGTGCCTTCTTCATTATCATAATCCTTTATCCTGTTCTGTAACATGGTGATTTCATTCCAGCATGTATTTGCATCACACAGTCAAGTGCATAGAAGCAAATGAAATGTTATGCATTTACAGATTTTTCCATGTATCTGAATGGAGATCACTGTTGAATGATACAGATTGGAGCAGGATGCCAGTTTACTGTTCCTCCATGTAAGGTTTTTCCTCATATAAGTCTCCATTTCAATGATAAATCTGTAATGGGGATTTCACTATAAGTGTTTTGAGATTCAGAAGTCTGTCTTATAGTGCCTAGTATTGAAGAATAAAATCTGAGCATAGGGACTGATGTGGTTCACGTGTTATGCAGGACCTCAACCATTGGGTGACTGGCTGGCTTGATTGGAATCTTGCCCTCAATCCCCAGGGTGGGCCAAGTTGGGCCAGAAATTTTGTTGATGCTGCTATCATTGTGAACGCAACTGCCAACGAGTTCTACAAGCAGCCAATGTTCTATGCTGTAGGGCACTTTGCCAAGTTCATTCCAGAGGGCTCTCTTCGCATTGGAGTTGAGCCGCATGAGAAGAGCGGTATTTCAGCTGTAGCATTTCAGACACCTGAGAATGCTGTAGTCATTATTTTGTATAATAGGTAAGTGTTGGTAACACTGCTCTGCCTCAGTTTGCTCTTTCGCATTCATATTACATCTACGTGCATCTCAGCATGATTGTTTGCTACAGGTACCTCAGTTAGTACAGTAACTAGGCTACTGGCTGGATGGTTGAGGAATTTATGTTCAGTTCCCAACAGGGACAAGACATTTTTCTGTTTTCCACACTGTTCAGACTAGCTGTCGGGTCCATCCTACTGCCTGTCCAATTTGTGTGATGAACTCTTTCCCTGGGACTAAAGCAGTTGGGCCATGAAGCTGACCACTCATCTAGTGATGAGGTTGACTACATGGATCTATACCTCGACTTCTCAATAAGTTTTCATGCTATGATAATTAATTAAGCATAGGATCAGTATTACTTATCTTTACAGATTGAGACAAAAAACGTCAGCCGAAACTGAAGTTCCCTTGTCTCTTCTGTGGCAGTGTAATGCATTCTAAGTGCAAACTTAAAGTGTAGTCCATTTTGATATTATCCGCCAGGGGGATTTTGTGGGCTCAGTGTAAGAAACTGGACTCTCATTCAGGGGTTCTGAATTCAGTCACCACTCAGCCATGTATGCAGTTTTTTCTGCTCACAGATTGAAACTTTTGGATCATGAAGTTACCAGCCCTTGTTAAGGTGCATCTTCCCCCTGTTGATCATCTTGTCACTTACGGTAACAGAAGCCTATGGGTGCCCCCACCTGGATCTTACATCCTTGTCCAGGTGGGCAGGGAGCAGAAATGTCAATGCAGACCTTATCTAGGGTCACTGGACCAACAGTAAACAATATACACGTATTATAAATCTTCTCCATGCAGACCATGACTATAAATACATCACTTATCTTAATTGTCACTGTAATTGCAACTTATCCTTTCTTTGCATGCAGTATGTAAAGTGAACGAATGATTGAGAGGTCTTGTCTGACCATCATTCCCTTTGTGTGCAATTGAGCAGATAATACTGAAATTTGCTAATGATCTGCTTTAAAAACTGTCAGGGCAGTTAACATTTTTCTGTATCAGTCCAGTATGGCCCATACTTCATGTAATCTAACATTGAACTTATCCACGTTCCCCCATCTGAATATATGAGACAAACTCCGTCTTAAGTGCTACAATTTAATTGTAGTTCTTTCTTCTTTCCTTCCTCTATACTACATGTTTCAGCCCTAAATGGCCATCATCAGGTGTATATTCTTACGTAGCTGCTACACTGCCCGTAGTTTAAAAATTAAAACACCAGTCTTTCCAGTTGTATGTATGTATAAAATATTTGTTAACCTACACACGTCAATTTGATTTCCAAAACTGGCACTTTTTAAAACTTCAATTCAAATTAAAATGTCTTTAACATATTAAAGATAGGCAGCGGCACATGCACAGAGAGCCTACACAGAACAATACCTGAACAGCGATAAAACAAGAAGTGGCCACTGCAGCACTATAGACATAGGGCGAGTATCCCGAGAAATTTTAATTTTTAAAATTTGGAAAAAGAAAAAGAACGGAAAATTTAAAAACATTTTAATTTGAATTAAAGTTTTAAAAAGTGCCAATTTTGGAAATCAAATTGACGTGTGTAGGTTAACAAATATTTTATACATACAATTGGAAAGACTGATGTTTTAAATTTTAAACTATGGGCAGTGTAGCAGCTACGTAAGAATATACACCTGATGATCGCCATTTAGGGCCGAAACATGTAGTGTAGAGGAAGGAAAGAAGAAAGAACTACAATTAAATTGTTGCACTTAAGACGGAGTTTGTCTCATATATTGTGTGAGTGTAACAGGATGCTTAAATATAATATTGTAATATTCCCCCATCTCCCTTAAACAGAGAGAGTCACAGTCACAAAAAGCTGTAGAGCTCTTTAAGATTATAACTTCTATTTGTGACACTTTTCAATCAATGTATTGATTATTTAATGAAATACAAGGATAAATAATGGATGTCTTACTTAGTGAAATGTCTTTGTTTTAACATACATATTTTACTAATAAATTACATTTTGTGCTTGCAGATCAGAGTATGATATGAATGTCACTGTAACACTGTCGGACATGAGGGTCATCAACCTGATCATCCAATTGCACTCTTTCCACACAGTCGTTGTTGGGAAGATGAAGGGACTGTGAATTTATTCCCTCAGTATTTGGATCCCTTGTCCTCCTTGTATAGGAAGTACACGAAGACATCCCCACAAGGCGTTTGCACAAGCTCTTTGTGTTGGATCAACATGGTGGCTGCAACTCCATATGCCAAGCAAGGGATTCCTGCCATGAACATCCAAATGCTGTTTTACCATGTGCATTCCAGTATTTCAAAATTTTAAAAGTGAACAGACCTCATTGAACACTTTCTTAGCCTGTAGTGACTGGTGATGGGCTGGATGACTGGGGAGACAAGGAACTCTTTGCCACCACATCAGGCTTCACAGTGGGGCCTACCCAGCCTCCTGTCCAGTAGGTACTGAAGGCTCTTTCCCCAGGGGTGAAGCAGAACCATTCACCTCAATCCAGTGCCCAGGTTAAGAATGTATGGTGCTATTCCTCCGTTCCACCATAATCCTCATGGTGCAGTGCTTAATTAACCCCTTGAATCCTTACTTTCTGAGTACAGTATTACACCATGATTCTCAAGAGCATGTAAACAGATGATATTCTGTTCAGGGTTTCAAACTGCACCCATGCTATAATTGGTGCTCCCATCCATGCAAGATATTCTTAATTATATCATCAGTTCTGATTTGAATTTGAAGATGTGTTTGTCTCAGTGCTATGCGGCATGGCACTGTGTCACAATAGCAAGCTAGGCTTCAAGGGGGTAAGCAAGCACAGGGACTTCACCAGTATTAAGATTCCTTGTTGTAGGAGGCAGTTTGACAGACTTCTAAAAGATACAGCAGTGTCCATCATGAGGATGGAGTTACTGAGAGTAGGCCCAGTCCTGTGGAGGTATTTGAATTTCAATTTGATTGGTAAATCTAGAGTTAGCTGAGTGTGTCTGATGGTGAAACAAGAACCATGAGAATTGGATGGACACTGCCAGTACCTCCAGACCAGCTCATCACAGCATGGCATCTGCAATGACTGCATCATCTCTCAGTGTCAGGTCCAGGTTGCACATAAGATTCTGGTGGGAGAAGTTCTTGAGAGATGAAGAGGATAATATTAAAATGGATAAAACTGTAATAGATCTAGCTTGTGATTATGTTAATTCAGTTAATCTGGCTCCAACTGGCTCCAGGTTACGGTGCAATTTGTTGTCATTGCTCTGCGTATTTGTAATGTAGGAAACTGGCTAATAGTGCTGGAATTGATAAAGTTATAGTTAAATTGTAGAGTCATGCTCTCCTTTTTATTGGCTGGTCTAAATGCACACTTCACGACCTAGCTAGTTTCTTTTATGTAACTTCAAGAAACCATACTTCTCAGCACATAAAGAAATGTTCTGTACAGAATGTTATATCCAAAATTTCTTAATTAAATTTAAAGAATTTGTTTCCATGCCTCAAAATTATTCTCCTTATCAGACAAAATGGCCTTACCAAAAGTCTTGTTAATTTTATTATGAACTTATAAGGGGTGGGCCTTCTTGGCCCTTGCACCGCGACCACAGTGATCTAATTTTATTAACTATGTCATAATTCACGATTTCAAAATCACATACTAGAGGTTCCCAATGTTGCACATACCTCAAAAGTTTGTTGAAATTGTGGAATGTTATTAAAGGGAGGTAGACATCTGAGTGGCATGACCTGAGTACTGAACATAGTGAAGACTGTCCACTTTGTTCAGAGTTTGGCAAGAGAAAGAGGATCCTTAGAAGAAATCCTTAACTCTATTAAGAGAAAGTTCATACAGCTTGTCACATGATGTTGGAAGAACTGACGCTTAGAGAGGTGATACCTAATTTTATATTATTATTATTATTCTGTTGTACATTTACCTAAGTTAATCAGTTTTATGAAGCGGAAGAATCTGTCATCGAGTGTTAGGTCTTGATGAGGTCTGCGTGAACAGTGATACTTTATGTAAGGGTAACAGCCTGTCCGCAGGATATGATAATTGGTGCTGCTGACAGGCCAGTTGAAGTGAGACCAACCTCGTTGGTCATCTAGAACACTGCTGTACTTGACAAAGTAAGATGTCCAAGGTGGTTCATTGCACTGCTTCAAGTAAGATGTCAGAACTTGTGATGATGTGGGTCTGCCACATTTGTGTGACATAAATTGTTTTGTCGACATTAACCAGAGTTCTCTGCTCTTCATTTGTTTCCATATATCACACTTCACTTCTCCACATAGCCCTGAAATGTTTAAAAAAGTGTTACAGAATGGACCACCATTCTGTAGTATGGAGGAAGCAGTTAACACAGCACAGTATCCTACATAACACTACATAACATGCTAGTAGTACTACGTCAAGCCTGAGGTCTGAGTACATCCATGTGTGGTTCACTCATATTGACAGTTCACCCTTTAGAGGTCAGACCTTTTTATGGATTCTCCTGCCTAAATGTTTGTACAATTTATAATGAATAAATATTTTACAGTAAAAGATTTTTAGATTTATATACAAACATACTCAGCAGCTGCATTCAGGCAAAATGTTTTAACTGTGCATGACTCAACTAAGTAGATAATTTAATGAACTTCATGAGTGGTACAGTTTAACTAATATTGTCAGCATAGGAAAAATGACATGAGTGTGATGAGCTGGATCTGTAGGTTAGATAGGGAGTACAAAAAGTACTTAACATTTTGTGGGGAGACTGTATAGCATCCACTTTAAGGGACAAGAAAGAGATTGGCTGATAACATGAAGATGAATATTGAATAGTTTGTTAGGATGTTCTGACCAATCACATCTGATAAAACTAAATTTGCATGTTTTCAAATTAATGTCAGACATGATTTGAGCTCACAGTAGTGGTTATGAAGAGTACTGTGCTGGGATATGCCTTGCAGGCTACTCGTATTGAAAGTTGAATGATACATGTATGATGTATTTTGGAAGAACATATTGCCTCCATCTTCAGAGTCAAAGAATCAGCCAAGTAAAAGCCTCTGTTTGTCCCTTGCATTCTGACTGATTTTTTGTTCAGTTTACTCTTTGATTCTGAAAGCTCAAGGTGACATGCTCCTCTGAAATGGTGGTTGAATTTTAGTAAACTACATATTGTTATATCATAGAAAATAGTACTTTCTTTAATCCCAGATATTTTGGAGTTGGAAGGTAATGCACAGCAGCTTCTGTTGCCCTTCATTTTATTTCCTCTTCAGTAGTCCTAGATTTAAGAGGATGGCATTTAAATGTTATTCTGTGGAAAGAGGTCATGTGGGAGACCAGGGTATATATGAACATCAACTGGTTTATCGTGAAATAAGGTTACATCGTTTCGAATGGCTTCCCTGACTGGGTGTTCTTATTGATATACCATTGCAAAATTCAATAGCATTAATATTTTATGGTGATAAAGGCTGTGGTATCAGTGTTTGTTATAGACAAAATTGCCAATTCGTAGGTAATTACCTTATCCAAACTTTTGTGCATTTGATGTACTTTTATGGCAAATAACTCCACAACGTACATGAATTGGAACTGAACTAAGTCTTCGGGAACTATACTCAATGAGCTTCTACATGTTATTACATGCTTGCGGAAAGGATAGACTGCTAATTTCACAACACATAAAACTATTATTATGAAACTGTCGTGATAAATGGGTGTTTATGTTATACACATACTCTATGCACATTGTGCGCATTCCCTTATTATATATGTTATACACATGAAATAACAGTTCACAGTACATTTTTTCGACCTTCTTTTCTTTATTCTCCACACCACTAATGACCCTTTATCATTTAACAGAGGTTATGTTCCATAGGGCATGTAATAATGTATTACACTTCTCTCGGTATTGACTTCTTCAGCATATACAGTCATTGAATTAGTCGTCTTAAGGGACTTAAGCATCCTAAGGGTATGCAGTCAATGATCGTCAATGGTTGCATGGGAGACTGCTTTTTCCGGTATGTGATGTATAGTCCGATAGGACCGCTAGAAGTTTATTAGTCTTTTGCATGAATGTATTGCTCCCGTTTTCAGAATCGAAGATATAAGAATCGAGCAGCAAGCTAGCTTAGCATATTTACCCTGCTCAAGATGAACGATTGATTTATTTTGGTATAATATGAATTCGCAATTTAAATAATAAATTGAAAAGGACATGGGACAAGATAGCCAAAATAATGACACTGGTGTTTTATATAATTATTTTAAAGAGAATTACTTCATGTGTGTATTTTTGTCATTAGCACGAGTATTTCAAATCGCAAAGGAACCGAAGGTAATTTTCTGAATGAACCCGTTGACAGGAGAGGAAATTGTTTATAAACCGTGGTGCCTACACGGGCAATTGGGCCTGGCATAATGTTACGTGTGTGTAATGGTGGTTTTGTAGCAAGTGTTTTTAGAGACAAACCAAAAGTTCATGATTATCGGCGCTTGTGTTGGTGCAGTGCTTGCCACGTTGACAAGAAGATTCATTAGAGACGAGGCATTTTACTGACAAGAAAAGAGCGTTATATGTAAGTGAAGACTCATTCGTAACGGTATGTAGGCTAAACCCAAGGAATGGTGTCGTGTGAGTATGATCGAATTCAAAGGCACGTTTATAATTCCGTTTCTGAAATGATTTGGCTAACTCGTTGTAGTGTTTCTGTAGTGTCAGTGAGTGAGGGTCATGTTGTGTTTGTCACAGAATTGTGAAATTTGCTTTCAACTCCCGTATTGGTATATAACGTGACACTTCGCGGTACACACCATTTTATAGCTCTGAATAATGTGAAAGAGTTGTCTATTTATATAAATATATTGTTACTTAGAACAGGGTTTGTTATTATAGCATTTACAGCGTGTTATGTAATGGAAGCGGAATTCGAATTTGTATGTTGCCCAGTTGGTATAGCGATTAGGCTTCGGTGCTGGACGATCGGGGTTGGATCTCCGGTTGGGGCAAAGAGTTTTCTTTGTTTTGGCCATAGCCTCACGACTGGCTCTGTGGGGGTCACCTGACCTCCTGCCCAGGGTACCAGGAGGTAGCTCTCCATTCCTGGTTAAGGTGACTTATAGAGGGTGTGAAGCTGACCACTCATCGTCATTTATTGTTGAGGTCAAGAATGGTGAGAGCTATCCCTCCATGCCCACATACTCTCTTGTGGGTTATCAGTGATGGAGGAAATAAGTTAATCAAAAGCTCTTTAATCATTTCCATGATGTACTTTTTAGTATTGTTCCATATTTTTTACATTTTTATTAATAATAAAATATGAGCTGTAAATGGTTATAAACCAAGCTGTGGGATAATAGTAACTTTGTGTTCATTATGCTCACTGCTCCTTGTTAGTTAGTATATATGCAAAATATATGTTAGATGCATACATTGGGCATACCTTCAGAATCCAGTGTGACAAGTGTATGTAAGACATTGTTGCTCTGAAATGTCAGCAGACTAGGCTACCAGCATAGTAAATAGGATTGTTGTAGTACCAAAGAAGGCATATAGATGGAAGTGCACCATACTGAAATCCTAACTAATCAAAGCCTAACTTCATCTGAACCAAGTGTTTCCAAATTTTGAGATATATGACTTTATCCCACTTTTGTCCTATTCAGATTTCTTGCCCTCCTAACCATCCATACGCATACTGGCAGCAATTACAGTAGTGGTACACTGTAAATATCAGGGCAAGAGTATCGTCAATGCATAATGTCATCATGTTCTGAAGGTTAGACATGCATTGTTTACTTACCAGAAATACCTGGTATTTTTCAAAGTCTGCAGTACAGTAGCCTTTTTTTAATGCTAGTGGGGTGGGACTAAGTCCCTTGTACTGCGGCCACTTCTGGCCTATTGTACCAGCCCCAGACGATAGGTGACGGTGATTGTGGAGCAGTTGGTGGAATGAATATTGGCAGGGGAAACCGAAGTACTCGGAGATACAGTAGCCTTACACTTTGATGATATATACCATCATCAGTAAAACATCGCATATCTGCATATCTTATGTTTAATTTGTGGTCAGAAGCCTCAACATGAACTTCATGAAGTAACTGAACTTCATGTAACAAACCGAGGAAGAGCTCTGGAATGTAGAAACCTCAGACTTGAACTTCTGTGGCACACCTCTATATTATTTTTCTTGCCACCGAAGAAACGTGTTACATTTGTGCTCAGTAGACTGACACAAATGTAACTAGGTTAGTAAATTATGCTAATGTTAAGATCAAAATGTTCTTGGACATGATACCGTGTAGTGTTACATACATAAGGAGTGGGCCTAACTCCTGACCCTTGAACTGTGATCATTAGTGCTCTGTTGCTTTTATACTTCTCTTTTAACTCAACAGTCAATTTTACACTTCAAATGAAGTGCTGGATTCTGCTTACAGGGGCATCATGATAGCTCTCCAGTTCAGTAAAATAATGGCGTGGGTGGCAGAATTTTAAGTAAGTTATGGCCTGGGGCTGCGCCATAGCTCAAGCGGTTAGTCACTGGCTTCCCACCGTGGTGGCCCAGGTTCGATCCCGGGTCTGGTGAAGTGGGATTTGTGGTGGACAAAGTGGCGCTGGGGCAGGTTTTCTCCGAGTACTTCGGTTTCCCCTGCCAATCTTAATTCCACCAAATTTTGTCAATCCAATTTTGAAAAGGTATCCATGTAGGTGACAGTGTCCTGTAAAGTAGTCCTGTCACCTACCATAATTGTACCTTGTAGTGTTGGTGCCACTGGAGTTTTCTTTCTAACTGTGTGGCATCACATCCCACGAGACTGATCTCAATATGCTCAGCCATTTTCAAATCTCACACAGACTAATGTTGTGTGCCATTTGGGTTCTTCAGAGGAATGTAAGGCTGTGTCGGAATACAAGGAATGTGAAAGTTGTAGGATTTAAGATTCTTACAGTGGTTGTTGTCAAGAGTTTTCTCTCCTGGAGTGCAGTGCATTGTAGTCGGGTGAAAGTCAGCTGATGTTTTGGAGGGATATGTTGCCTCCATTTCCAAGGTTGAATGTTTAGGCAAGCGAGAAACAGTATGAAGCAGGCAGCAGACAAAGCACATGGCTTGCAAAACCTCATAGATGTGCCAAATCAACACTGGGTGCATCTTTACAATACAGTGACTGCTGACTTACGTCTCATTTCTTGATTAACTGGCCATACCAACAGAGCTAAAGCAGACATTTTTACCCATATTTTACATACTTCTATATTTCTTCACCACATCATCAGGTTTTGTCTTATCCTTTAATTGTAGTGAATATGAGGCCATGCCATAGCCCAGACTTATAGTTTCTGACTTTTCACTGCATGCAGGCCTGCGCTCAGTCCCATGGAAGTCCATGTGGATTTGTGGTGGATGATATGATACTGGGGCAGGCTTTGCCCCAAGTTCTTACATTCTATCTTGCCAATTATCATTCCACACCAATGTTCCATTCTCTCCTCTGTCTTCCAGGGCTGGTACCACGGCCCCATTTGTGGCCTAAGATCCAAAGGACTCAGTATCACCCCACCTCGAGAATAAAATAAAGTAAGAAAATATGCTGTTACCTGCCAGTATGTTAGTATATATTTACTAGTGTACGTTTTGAAGAGAAAGATTTTTATCCCTGCAGGTGACATGTTGAGATGCTTGTAACAACAACAAGAAATGGATAAGCAGGCAGAAGAATCAAGATTAGCACCCTTCTCATCAGGTGAGCTTCATGTGGGAATTTGCAAGTCTGTCTGCATTATGTACTCAAGACTCTTTACATCATATCTAAATCACAATGCTTACCACAAAACTGTTCGTTACTTTGTTCAGGCTTATTGCAGCCACTCACCCAGTTCAGTCTGACATGGCATTCAGATTTCTTGGAGAAATATAAAACATGTGTTCAGATATGTGGAATGGTAATTGTTTTGCTAGTATAGATACAGATATCTGATGATGGAAGTAGTCAGACATGTTTTGGTTTCCAAAAAGAAAGTTGCATTAATATTTTCTGATTCTTTGCTGTGTTTTGCCATTTCCTTTGTGCTGTAAGTGACTGAGTGACACCCCAGAATTCCCATTATCAACTTCCAGATGTTGACTAGAGAAATTAGTTACTAGTCACGAGTTTTCAGTCACCAGTGGGGACCAGGTGTTTGTATTTTTCAATCCCTGTCTGATAGTCCCCATCAAAATTTCACAAGCAGATGAGACATATGTAACTGGTGTACTTATGAAGATATTACCGACCCCAAACAGATGATCTGAAATAATGAAATGTCAATGAATTTTGTGATGTGTCTGCTTTTATTGGCATTGTCATGTTAGTTAAAGGCAATAAACCCGCGAGAGGTATGGGCAGTTTTGTTGGACATGTAGCCGCATTCTGACATGGCAGTGAGAGGGCAGTGGTAATTTTTAGCAGGATACATGTTTGACAATTTGGATTGCTGTGTGCTAAATTACAGCAGTGCTAGCCACCATTCAACTCACAATCTTTTGTTTTTCTGTCATTTTATATGGGTGTGAAGAAACTTGACTCTGACACAAAAAGAAGAACGTAGATGTAGGCTGTTTGTAAACAGGGTGCTGAGGAGAATCTGTGGACACAAGAAGGATTATGTAACAGGAGGATGGGGGAAAATGCGTAATGAGGAGTGTCATGATCTGTTCTCTTCACTGGATGTTCATTCTTAAGGTGATCAAATTAAGGGGGGTGAGATGGGTATGTATCAGAGTGATGGGAAATGCCTACAGAGTTTTGTTGACAAATGCAGAGAGAAGATAACTGCTTCGAAGTCAGGGCAGCAGGTCCCCATGCTAAAATTCCAGTCAGGCCCTTGAAATGTTGGGTTCACTGCTATGTTTGTTTTCCTTGCAGGCCAGGAGTATCACCATGCTGTAAGTTATTCAGTACCTTGTGTGTTAATGTTGTTTCTGTATGGGCATGGTGTGTATGGATGCGTAAGTGGCCTTAAAACGTGCTGCTTTCTTGGTTAACACTGTCTTCATCAATGTGACACTGTGACCAGGCCCCAGTCCTTCCTGTCCCTATATCCTAACATTTTTATCAGATTTGGGTTGCTCTTCCATCATGGATGAAGATGGAGACAGTAGGTTCCTCTGAAATGCTGGTAATTTTCTAGCAGATAAATGGTATCATATCTCAGGAAACAGGACTCTTCATAATGCCTTCCATAAGATCCTCAAATTCTACATACTCCTGTCTTAATTGTTGATCAAAGTATGTAACACAGTAAATTCCCCACTTGTTACATGTTTGTTAAATATTGTTTTTCTTTAGAAAAGAACTGGGGTTAGAAATGTCGGAAAGAACAAATTGGCAGAAGATTAGCCAGACTTGGAAGTAATTACTTAACAAGAATTTGAGTGATTTGTGCAACTCAGTTAATTAGTATTTAGAATAGGAGTATGCCAGGCTGGACCAGTAGCTCAGTTAGGAAGACAGCAAATACTAAAAAACATTTTGTAGAAAATCAGTCATCTTGCATAGTAGCCTCTTGAAATGAATAGAGGAGGATATGGAGATAACATTAATCTGAAGAAGTCAGTTGTGAGGATTAGAGGTGGATGCTGCTCTGATTAACAACCTAAACCTTCAGCTTATACTGGAAAGGTGGTAGTTCTCTTAACGATTGCAACCAGCATATTCTGGTAAGAAGGTTTATATGAATGCTGTCTTAAAGGAATTATGTACATATATGCAAATGCTGACTGTCTCTCATGTTTTACAACCCCGAACTATTTGCCAGTAGAGTGGAAGCTGTTAAAATTGCAAATCTGAATTCCTGTTAGGAATTGAATCCTGTAACTTAGAGATAATGGAAAGGAGGAAATTATGAATGTGCTTCATTTGCCAGATTGTGGGTATATTCAAGGGTTCTAATGATATTGTGTAACACTCAGAATTTGGGATTTTGGACTTTGTCCATCATCCGGTATTTTAAAGAACACAGTGTTTCGGAAACTGGATCTGTTTCCATCCTAAGCTGAGGGGGAGACATCTACTCTGTTGGGTTCCTTAGAAAGAGCTAGCTTCAATCACTGGTCAGTGCTTGGTTGGCTTTTTCTAAGGGACCCAACAGAGTAAGTGTCTCCCCCTCACCTGAGGACGAAAACAGATCCAGTTTCCAAAAGATGTGTTCTCTCGTTTTCGGAATACCAGATGATGGACGAAGTCCAAAAGTCAAGAAATTCTGACTAGATTGAAGTGTTATGTGTTTGTTACATATTGCTTATGCTTGTAGAGGCTTGAATGTATAGGTCAAAAATGCATGCCATTGCAAGTTTATGACAGTTTGAATGGCTTTGCTGAAGCACTAATTCAATTAACTTTTTTTGTCTTTTTTTTGGGGGGGGGGCATCCTACTCAAGAGTGGTCAGTGTTGGAATGTGTACAGTGACCTATATGACACAGTCCACAGAAATACTGAACCTAAATTGTGTCTCAAACATCATTGAGGAAGCATCATCATCATCATCAGATAATGACAGATCATTGAGTTATCATTACAAAGCTACTACATTCAATTTCCAACATACAGTGTGAACAGTCCACTCCTGCATACACAGTGTGTCCAGGTTCTGTTGGGACTGTGTTCATTAAAAATACAAGACGCAAATTATTTTCAAAATTTCACTCTTTTTATTCATAATAGTCTCTTTTTAAATCAGTACATAGCTGGAATTGATTGAAAAGTTTTCACAAACAGTCACTGTACTCCTTTTGGGGAATCGCATTTAAAACTGTGGTAGATTCCCTTTAGATGTCCTGGATGGTGTCGTGATGGTCTCCTTTCATCGCCAACTTAACTTTTGGGAACAACCACAAATCTGCTGGAACCAAATCTGGCGAATCTGGAGGATGATCAAGGACTGTGGTCCCTTTTCTGGCCAAAAAATCTGGCACGATCTTCGATTTAGGGGGGTAGGGCATTGATGTGGAGGAGCAACCAGGAACCTTGCTCTCGATATTCAGGTCGAATTCGAAGAATTCTGGCCCAAAAACGATTGAGGGCTCCGAGATTATAATCAGAATTCACTGTTTGACCTGGCAGAAATTCCTTGTGAATGATTCCTTTGGAATCAAAGAAAATGGTTAGCAGTGTCTTTACTCGACTCTTCTGCATGCGCACTTCCTTTGGTTTCAGCTTCTTTGGGCTCAACCACACTGCAGTCTGCCACTTTGTGAGAGGCTTATATTGAAAACACCATGTCTGCTAATGTAGTATCCTCATACCAGTTGCCACAAGTTCATGGGAACAGTGATGGAGTCACCACGAGACAACTTGCATGCAAACTGATCACAGAGTCTAATAACAGATGGTGCAGCATGTTGTAGCCTTTGTATACCCCTATATGAAAGGCAGTTTGATGTATGTTTGCAGTGTTTGTATGCAAACACTCAGAGAGGATGTGGACCTCTAGGAAAACGTTGTCATAAGAATTTCCATTGAAATGTCACTAGGCATTATGCTAGTTAACCATAAAATGAATATCCTGAGAATCTGTCATAAAGTCCCATGCTTAACTAAGCAATAGATCATGAAGACATACGGGAGAGTGGAAATACAGATTGAGGCATTATGCCAAGGAAGATGACTCAGACAGTAACACTTCTGACTTGTACTGTGGAGATACTTATTTCAAGTCTTCGTCAGGACACCGACTAACATGATTTGAGTTCTTTTTGTCTTTGGTTTCTCCTTGATCTCTCCAGGAAAATGTGTTGACATTGAAACAGGCTGTGACCCCTTCCCCATTCATTAATCATGTCATTGGGTGCTATATGGTTCGAGTTACTGAAAACGTCCTGAAATAAACCACAAACCACAATCTAGTCTTTTGTAACTTGGGCTCCCAGTAACCACTGAATAGGAGACCGGGTGAATCTCAGAGCTGATCTGGAGGCTGTGGAGAAGAGGAAGAAACTCTACCGAGTAGGGAATCAGACCCCAGTTCCTCAATCGTTCAGCAGATAAACTTCGTCACTATACTGACTGAGCTATCCCAGCACCGAGAATCAATCATTATGTAAACAATACATAAAAAATAAAACATTAGTTATCAAATGGAGAATGTTGAACAAAAAAAACAGAAGGAATTCTTGAAGAGTTCTCCCTTCTGGGGTATAATGCCATGTAGTCAGTGGAAATTATCAACTAACGTTTCGGAGGAACGTATTGCTTCCATATTCAGGGTTGGTTGTCATTCAGCGGACTACGTGGAGTTTGATTCCAGAAGATAGAACTCTTCATAGTCACTGATGCGAAAACCTAACATCCAGCATAGAAAAAGAATTCTTGTTAAACCCAGCTGTCTGAAAGCTGACAGAGTAGTAGCTTTCATACCTTATATGTTTCCATGTTGAACAGACCCAAAAGCTGCATGAAATGTCGTTATATACTGAATGTGATGATCCTCAAGCAGTGGCTCTCACATCACCGACTGTAATGACCACTCTCTTTTGGAGTGTGAGCTCATGTCGTGTTTTTGACCCTTCTGCCTGAAGGTGGAGGCAGCAGTCTTCTCCAAAACGTTGAGAAGTATCTACCAGACTTCATGGCATCACACTCAAAGACAGTGATCTCTTTGAGTGTGTGGGAGTTCCGCCTAACCAGAGCCAAATTCCTGTGGTGGTAAATTAGGATTGTCACATGTCAAAACTTCCAAGTCATGGGGAAGTGCCACCGCGTTGTGCTGGAGCAGTGGTATCGTGTTCAGTCATTGAGATACTGACGTAGCGGTACCATTCCGAAACTTGTATTCGGGAGGTGCTCAGTTCGAATCTCGAACGGGATACCGGTTATTTTGACGGGTTTTTCATGGATTTCCTCGGTTCCTTCATGCAGATACCGGGATAGTACCTCGACTAGGCCAAGCAAGACCTCTTCTTTCCAAATCCTCTCAAATTCATCAGTCGTCCTAATATCTTACAATACTGACAGCGTCGTAAAGTAACTGGGATGTGTCGTCGCATAGTCTGGTAGAATTTACCGACGTTTCGGAGAAATATACACCAGGATTAAAGATTAAGACAGTCAAATAATCAGTTTGCTTTGCACTAGTTGCTTTCATGGCTTAGCCTTCGATCCTGAAGGCGGAGGCAATACGTTCCTTCTAAACGTTACTGAACGTCTGCAGAATTACACGGCGTCACGTCCCATATCGTCATATCCCCATATCTAGCGAATGAGAATGTACGTACGGAAGTCTGTGAGATGGGAGGTTCACATGGCGGTCATTATGGCGAGCTGTCATGGTTTTGTAAGAATATAAGGATCCCGTATTCTAATACCATGAAGCTGGAGGCAGGAAGTTAGTTTCTCAGAAACTTTGGTGTCTATCAGAATACACGGGGTCAGCATCCCTGAAGATCGTAATCGTGTTATTCACCGCCATGAGAACGTCGCTTCGTGAGGGGCGATTCAGAACGCCAACAACGCTCAGCAGACCGACACAATATTCTAAAACGTGTTTTAACGAAGACAGCAGTCTTCTGGGATTGGCACCATGTATATGTGGTGTTAACCGACGTTTCGGAAGAACGTATCGCCTCCATCTTCAGGGTAGAAGGAAAAATATAAAAAAAATCCGCAAGCGAGGAGACCGTGAGAACAGGTAAAAGCAGACTCTGCGATACGTTCTTCCGAAACGTCGGTTAACACCACATATACACGGTGCCAAATCCCAGAAGACTGCTCTCTTCATAGTCACCGCCGTGAAAACCTCAAATCTAACAACGTGTTTTAACGAGTTTATTCACTCCATACATCGTCATCGATGGCAGACATCGGAAAACACAGAGAGAGATTTTGTTGATCCGCGGATGATCTGTGACGTTATGTAAAATGAATCGACCGCAAATCATTCTTGTAGAA